ACCTTACAGTTCCATGCCAGCTCAAAGGCTTTGGAAACATATGAAACTTCAGTTCACTACTTCCTATGTGAATATGAGAATATAATGTTGGATAGTTTCGTTTATAGCAATTACTAATGTAATAGCACTGCTTTGCATATAGCAATTGCACTGCAGCCACAGAGTCAAAGCCAAAGCTGTAATCTCATTCAGAAGACAAAGAAAATCCTGGCTACATGCCATTCATTATTTTTTCTCTGTTATTCCTTAGCAAACCATTTTAAGACAGACAACTCCATTCTACAGTTTTCTTTCCTTTTCTTTTCTTTTTTTTACAATTCTGATTAAAATATTTATTATTACACAAAAACTATCAAATCAAAAGTATTCTCAGCTGTCTTCTGTTACAAATATGTTCTTGTTCATGTACATATGTGACTATGAAAATGCGATATGAAATATCTGATAATAGATTCAACTCTTTCTTCTCTCTGATTCAGGGTGGAGCATTATCTTCTAAATCTAGTAAAACAGGAATATGAAAATCAATGTTCCAGAAGTCCAGAAACTTCTACTGCAGCAATAATTCTTTTCATTGAAAATATTCTTATCGCCTGATGTTCTCTCATACATTTATGTCTTTTGAGAATCCAAAGTTGACATAATATGCCTCACCAGGTTATCCTCTGCTGGATGATTTGTTGATCTAAAGTTGACTTCAATTCTGTCTGAAGATTAAAGACTCAACAAGATGTATGTCACTGCCAACATCAACTATCTGTCATTGCTCTCAAGTACATTTGAGCTGTGTATTTACCTAGTTATTGCTGTTTTGTAAGCAGAAAACAAAATGATGTATACCTTAGCACTTATCCTTTCCAGACACCTTGCCTTCTGATTTAACACTAAGTCCTCACTCTTTGCTTAGAACTCCCAAATCAAACCCACATCAATAATTTTCCTTGTGAAAATTTAGTAGCTAAATTGACTTATATATAAGTATACTTAAAATATCAAAGATTTCATTTAGAAGCAGTATTCAAAAACTTCAAAATATCCAAGACCTTCCATAATATTGTCTTATGAAAATAATTAACATTTCCAATGCTCATTAATATTTGTCTCTGTATGTATATATTGTACATTAAATAAAAGCACAGCTATTTGACATTTGCGTGCATATCCCTTTACACGCAAACAAAGAGAGCATTACAAAAATTAAGACAAACCTTCTCTGTAATTTATGTCATAACAAAAAGAGCAGTTCCAGTGCCTTACTATCAGATGAGCTATCAACACACAACATTCAATAACACTGAAAAACATCAGGAAGTTTTGACAAAAAAGTGCTGAACAGTTCAGGTACAGAGTCTTGGAGTGGATTTTTATATTATTTCATCTTAGACTACATTTGTGATTATGCATTATTTTCTGGATAAGCTAGAATTGCTATTGCGATATAGAACTATATATAAGTTACATATATATATATATATATGTATGTATGTATAAGTAGTATCTATAGCTTAGCAAACTCTATGTTTCCACTGAGGAGTTATTAGATTTAATGAATCTTAAAAAACAAAATTTCTGAACAAATGTTCCCGAGTAAGAGGAGGATGGTGAGTCCTTTAACACCATGTCTGAGGGAAGCCCTACAACAAAGCATTTTCTAACATTCTCTGTCCCTTCTAGGCAAACATTTTCATAAAAAAAACCAGCAACAAAAGTATTGAAATAAATAAATCATGGGTATAAGCTAGCGAGATAAACATATTGGAGGGAAAGTGAATAAGTGGGAATTACATAAAAGCTACTGATGAGCAGAAATCCCATCATGTTAATGCAGTTGAAAGAACAGTGATTGCTGCTAGAAACAAGGAGACCTTTTTCCTTGTTTCCCAAAAAGGATCTGATAAAGGCTCTACATTATGTTTTACTAGAACAATCTACTTGTCCCCTGAACATCAGTGGTGTTGGAGCCAGCCTTCTTTAGAGTCTTTATTACAGAATCACAGACTCACTGGGTTGGAAGAGACCTTCAGGATCATTAAGTCCAACCCAGATCATCAAGTCCAATCCAAAGATCATTGAGTCCAACCCAAAGTCACTATTTTTGATCTGGATGTGGAGATCAAGTGTCCCCTAAGTCACTTTCCATACAACACTAAGCTGGGTGGGAAGACTGATCTACTAGAGGGTAGGAAAGAGATTCAGAGTCATTTGAACCAGGTGGACAATGGACCAAGGACAATTATATGAGCCAGGTCCTGTCCTTGGGTCACAATATCTTCAGACAGCACTACAGGTTTAGGGAAAAGCAGCAGGAAAGCAGCCTGGCAGAAAAGGACCTGGGGATGCTGGTTGAAAGCCAGTCGAACATGGTCCAGCAGTGTGCCCAGGTGGCCAAGAAGGCCAAAGACATCCTGACCTCTATCAAAAATAGTGTGGCCAGCAGGACCAAAGAAGTTATTTTCCTATTGTGCTCAACACTGGTGAGACAACACCTCAACTCCTGTGTTCAGTTCTGGGCTCGTGTCCTGGTTTTGGCCAGGACGGGTTAAAATTTTGCAGCAGATAGGAGGGGACATTCCTAACACCCAGAGGTTATTCTATACCACCTCACAGAGTTTTTCAGGGGTAGGAAAAGAGGTCCCTTCTGGTCAAGTAAGTGCAGTTGGCTGTCACTGCTTTGCTCTGTAAAGGACATTCTAGCTGTTTCTGGTAAATTGTTCTTATCACAACCCATGATCTTTACATTTTGTACCTCAAATTTTCCTCTCCACATGGCTGAAAGGGGAAGGGAGAGGGAGACAGGAATGAATGCTTCAGTGGGACCATTAAATTGGGGAATACCATTTCTAATCCACAACAGCCCCAGACACTGAGGTGATGCAGATTGTCCAGAGAAGGGCAACAGAGCTGGAGAGCACAAATTTTATGAGGAGCAGCTGAGGAAGCTGGTATTGCTGATCCTGGAGAAAAGCAAGGGGAATTTGTTGCTCTCTACAACTGCCTGAGAAGCAGGGTGTAGTAAGGTGAGGGTTAGTCTCTTCTCCCATGGGAAAACTGGGAAAAGTGAAAGGATGAGAGGAAATTACCTCAAATTGCACAAGGAGAGTTCTAAGATATTAGAGAAAAAATTCTTCACTGAAAGGTTGGCCAGGCATTGGAACAGGCCACCCAAATAAGAGGTAAAATTACCATCCTTGAAAATGCTAAAAAAAAATGTGTATGTGTGTGTGTGCCACTTAAGGACATAGAGATGAACACAGTGGGGATAGGTTTATGGTTGGCCTCAATGACCTTAGAGGCCATTTCCAATTTTAACAATTCTGTGATTCTGAGATCTGTGTTCATGGCTTTATTGTGGAAACAGATTTTAATAGCATTAGTGGTGGGTTTTTTTCTTAAGGATCATTTTCATTAACAATACATAACATTATAAGAATAAATAAAAATTTTCCTGCTTCTACCTGCCTTGATTGTTAAGCAACAACCCATTTAAACCCTCTATTTAATGGTTTAGGGTAGTGTCTGGCAGGAAACTAGCAGCCTTTCCCCTTTCTTCCATGCTATTTCCACTTTCTTCCAAACTACATCTTACAAAGTGTTTGTCCATTCAACTCACTGACCTGTCTGAGTTCTGCAGTCAAAGTGCTGATAAAACAGTGTTCATTTTATGTCCATTATCTCCTGCTTGTGTCTTGTTTATGATCTGTTAGTGTGTTTAGATGCCAGGCTGAAACTATAAAATAGATCTTGATGTCTATGTAAAATTTTCTTTCTAAAATATAGTGCTAGTAAATAAATCAAAAGCATGAGTGTTACTTGACTAACAGAACACTAAAAGAGTAGAAAGTTCTACCTCAGATTTCTGTGTTTCAAATGCTCCTCCTCTTCCTGTTTTTCTTAGTTAACTTTTGATATCAGGGGAAGTCAAGGTTTTAGTCTTTAAGCTGCTATCTCACTGTACATAAGGAATGGCACTCATCGGAAAAGCTTAGGACTACTATATTTAAAATCAAAGGCTGAGGTATTAGTACACCTACATGCATAAGCTTGACACTGGTGAGCCCACAATGAGCCCATTTTCCTCGGCTCTCAAACATGCCACCTTTTATAGCTATATTTTTTTCCTTGTAAGAGCAGCAAATCCCTCTCAATACCAATACAATGTGTCAAACAAGATTTCTATTGTAAGACCTAAAAACATAGGAGAGGCAAGCATTAAAATCATTGTTATGTAGCTTAAAATGGCAAGGGCCAAAGTATTTAGGCATTGAGAATTTGTTTCTCTAAAACTTATAACACCAGGCTGAGTAATTTAGTTTAGATATCACAAAGAAATTCTTCACTGTAAGGGTGTTGAAGCACTGGCACAGGTTGCCCAGAAAAGTGGTGGAAGCATCATCCCTGGAAACATTAAAGGCTGGGTTGGCAGGGGCTCTGAGCAACCTGGTCTGATGAAAGGTGCCCCTGCCCATAGCAGTGGGTTTGGAACTAGAAGACCTTTAAGGTCCCTTCCAATTCAAACTTTTCTATGAATCAGTTACTCAATTATATATCTCTTTAATAAATTAAGATCATTACTGGACTCTTAAAAAAATTAAAATGCATATTTTTTGCAGGATTCTATTTTTCGTTCCTTTTTCCCACAATCTTATGTTTCAATTCATCTTGTTTGAGGCTTAAAACTCTGTAATATTTCTATTTTTCGTAATCTGTAAAAAATATAAAACACCACCTGTTCCCAGAAACAACTGCAATAACTGCCTTATAATCAGATAACAAAAATGTGCTAACTTTTTCTCATACTATATTCATGGCTCCAGGTGCAATTTTGCAGGTATAATTAAAGCCAGAGAGATATAAAAATGTAGTGGAGACTGTTTAGTGTAAACAAGGAAGACAATTATCATTAACAAGTAAATTAACAAGAATATCCATGGATGCTTATTTCCTTGCAATAGAGTTAAATGGTAAGAGTGTAAATATCTGAATATCGTGGGCCAACTCACCAATCTCCCCTGGAAGGTGGTTGATTTGATTTTTTGACAATTCCAGTACTCTCAGATCTTGAAATAGTGCAAGGTAGGCTGGAATGGTCTGTATCAATGTATTGTACACATGCCATTCTTTCAGATAGATCTGTTCTTTCAGAGAATCTGGAAGTTCCTGTAAATGAAACAAGAACAGGTAAATAGAAAGCATGAACTTAGAATTTTGTTACCCTGTTTCCAAATAGGGAGCAAAATGCACTTTGCCTTAATTATCTTGATGTAGAATAGTAGTTTGCCAAAACCTTACAGAAGCTGTCTGCTTTTGAGGAGCACTGCAGCTGTCTTCATCACATATGCATTTTTTTAACTCCTAATGAAATTATTTGCTCTAAAACAGAAAGCTATTTGAAGAACTCAATCTGTTTGGTGTCTCACACATTATTTCATTTTTCCAGATGGAGGATTTCTTTAAAACACATTTCAGTGCTTTAATTCACACATCAAGATGTAGTAAAATGCAGCACAGAACAGGAGAGTGCATAGAGAATATCTAAATAGGGTTTGCTATGAAAAAAAAATAGGCGTGATTTTGTTCTGAATGCCTGCCAGTGTTTCAAAACTTGTTTTCCAAGAGGGAACAGAAACCATTTCAGATACTATAATCACATATCACTTGGCTTAACTTCCTAAGGTGTTGTAGCAATGTTAAAAAAAAAATTAGAGGATTTCCTTAGAAATTGATTTTAAAATTAAAAAAAACAAAATTGAATTTTAAATAGTCTGCATTTGCAAGTAACTTTTTATTTAGTCATGCAGAATCCTTTGCTTTCAAAATTCAAAATAATTTTGAAATTTCCTGTAATTTCTGAGTTATTTTCCGATTATTCTATTTAACAAAAGTCTTCAATATATTAATGAAACCTAAATTTATAAAGCTTTATTTTAGTAGAAAATTGGTTTAATTAATTGGTATTTACTTTAAATGTACATGTCTTTGTTTAATTTATGTCACCAAATTCCTTTAACTTGAAACAGACAAAAATCAATTCCAAAAGTTGAAGGTCAGGTCATTTAACTCCCTCTTTCTTAAGCATTGTGTAATTTACCAGTCTGTCCTAGGTCTTATAACACTGTTACATGGCAACATGTGGAATAAATAATCTGGAAGAGGTTCTGCCACTAACTTTGCTCTGTATTAAGAGATGTTAGAGTTTTGGCCTTGATTCTTTTATTAATTTCAGATTTTTTTCCTGTGCATGAAGAATACGACACAGTAGGAATTACTGGTTTTTACAAAAAGGATATTGTCTTCTTTTTTTTTTTTCTTCTTGATTTCATAGCTCTCCCAAGAAATTTGCAAGAATGTTGCATTTAAATTTTTTTATTAACGCTGAACTTCTGGATTAGCAATTGTGTTACTTAACTCTTAGTTAAATTAAAACATCTAACTGTAATTATAGATATGATGGACTGTTGATCAGAAGCCATTTTTGGTTGTTATTGCCTGTCATTTCAGTTATTTTCAAATTTACACATGCAGACATAAAACCTATGGTTTTTTTGTTCTGGCTTGCTACTTTCCCTTCCATATTTGCTACAGATAATTTCATTTCTTACTTCACCTTCTGATTAGGTGTATGTGTGTATTGCATTGTGATCCATCTTCTGTATTTGTCAGTTTATGACAAAAAAATTAAATGCCTCAAATGCCTCAGGGCTGGTGGTAAGAAATCTGTCCAAATTTGTGGAATTAGTTACTATTTCTCATCTTCAGTACTGCACATTTTTCTGCAGCAAAACAAAATAACAGAGAACAACAGCAAATGCAATTAGTGTTTTCCTTCCTATCTTTAAAGAATGGAAAATTCAGCACAGAAGAGATAGTATTTAGCTGGAGTGTTACAGATGTCTCTGTAGGGAAGAACCATGATTCAGAGAGAGAGATGAATAACCATATTGGAGGGGAAAAGACGTCTATATTAAAAGACACTATTTTCCACTCTATTTCTCCACGCTGCAGGTCGGTCTCTGCTTTTCTATTGACCTAATGGGTTTTTTCACTTTATTGTCACAACACACCATCTCCAGCTCTTTGGTGGCAAATACAGCCCTTTGTCTTCTGAAAACAACAGCCATGCTCTTCTCCCACACTGAAGGGAGAAGAAAAAATTCTCCTTGATACATTCAAAACAGTGCAGCATACAAGGTTCTCTACCAGATGATCAAACTCGTTCACCATTTTAGAAAAATTAAGCCAAAATACAAAAAAAAATTATTATTAATCCATAAAGACTTTTTAAAAATCTTTATGTCTGTGTTAAGACTTGTTTAGAGCACCAGGATATTCCTGTGCATTTTTAGACACTACTTTATAAGAATAGTAGATTCCATTCTTCTACCAACTGCCAACTTGCTTTCCTTTCTTGTGAATATTTCTTTATATCATATGATCATATTTACAATTTGCAAATACAAGAATGCAAATACTTTGCTACTATGTTCTTTTTCAATATTTTCCATTTTAAAATGCATTTATGTTTGTGTTGCTAAAACATAAATTGATGTGATATTTTGCTGCATTACCAACTAGGTAGGAATGGGAACTGAAACTTCCACAAGCTTTATGTTTGCTTTACTCTTTGATTCTCTTGTGTTCTTTTGTAATCTTCTGCTGCCATGCTAAAGCTGGCAGCCTGCTGATATATTGCTGCATGAAGATTGACACTTGGAGGATAGCCAGTCTTTTGCCTTTAACAGCAAAACAATACCTTAAACTTGTTTGATTTTTGGAAGAGAAAAAAGCTTTAAAAGGAAATAAATAACAAACATACAACCATTGCTGATTATAATATCTCTAATTAGGACAGAATTCACCTGCTAGGCCTCAGCCTGAACTAAAACTGTGATCAAAGCTCTAAGTTTAAATTTGGTTTCTTTTCCAGCTCCAGCTTTTATCTGTAATGGGCCAAAATAAAATTTTGGTTCCAAATCTCCCACTATTCTAAAAAAATTTGAAGCTAGTTCCAGGCACTCCCTGTGGCAGGTCCCCAGCACAACACTGGCACTGTCCCCATGCCCCTCCCCGTTGTGTGTTTTGTGTAAAAGGCTGATCCACACAAGCATTCTTTGATTAATTTACAGTTCTGCACAGAAAGCCTTGCTGTGTGGCAAGCCCTAAACCTTAACAGGGCAGTTCTATCAACAAGTAGTTTATCCTTCTGACATCTGGACATCACAGCCACTGGCTGCCCAGGGTGGTGGCACCCCAAGCAGCTGAAGGCAGGCAGGGCTGAGCTCAGCAGGGCCACAAGCGCTGGGGCTGTGTGGGAGGGGATGGTTTAGGTCAGCTGGAGCCTCTGTGCGGAGAAAGCAGGTCTGCCTTATGCCAGGCATCGCTGCTTCCAGCTGGGTCCATCCAGTCCCAGGCAGCTCTGTGCATCCCACCCCGCTGTTATAAGGATGCTGGGGTGTGTGGCCCATTGCCACAGCAGCACATTCCAGGGCCCTTTGTGATGCAGGAGTCTCACGGTGCCTGGAGACCACTGTTACGCGGGGCCACGCCCTGACCCTGAGGTTACTTAAAGAGCACTAAGGCCTGGAGTGCTCAATCCCAGGAGAACACTTCCCTCAGGAGGTAGCATCTCCCCTGGATGCCTCAGTGGCAGAAGCTGCCAAAGAGGCACAGGGTGAAGGAATGGGGGGATGAGACAACCAACTCCTCTTCCTCCTCCTCCTCTTCTTCCTCTTCATCTTTTTCCTCCTGCCCAGAGGTGGGCCCCATGCAGCTATAGGCAGCACTGCAGACAGAGGAGCACTGTGTGCGACCCTCCACTGAAGCTCAAGAGATGTCCAAGGCAGCAGCTTCTGACTTCATCAAGCAGATGACAGCAGCAGAGGCAGAGAGCCAGGGAGCTGCTGCACACAGCCCCTGCTGCCCACTCCCCAGCTCCTTGCCGAACCCTCTGGAAGCCCACACCCTCTGCAGGCAATGGGCAGGGGCAGCAACAGGGGCAGTCCTGGAAGTACCAGAGACCAAGAAGGTCTTGGTAGAGGAGAGGGAATGCTTGAAACTCTATGACATCCAACACTTCTTTCAAGTGGAACACAATGAAAACCAAAGTTGGAGTGCTAGAAAAGAGAAGCCTTCCCTGCCCCTCACACATCAGGCATGGTCAGAGTACTGGGGTTTTAACAATGGAGTATCCCACCTCAGCAGTCCACCTCTAAGAACTAGAGAAATGGACCCAATGTGGACCCTGTTTTATGAGCCTCCCTGGATGGCTGAAATGATGGGTATGAGAATGACAGCACCATACAAAGCAGCAGACAGAGAGAGCCAGGAATCTGCAATTCACAGGCCCTGCTGGTCACATCCCAGCTCCTCCACATCAAGCCAGATGGAAGCCCATGCCCTCAGCAGGCAGCAAGTAGGACCAGCAGCAGGGGCACTCCTGTCAGCAACAGCAGCCAAGGCAGACACCTTGGCTAAGAGGGAGAAATGCTGGGAAGATAACAGAGACCACGAGCTGTCCCACAAAGAGGACAGCACAGACAAAAACTGGAGTACCAAGGAAGAAAGTCTTTCCATGTCCCTTCCACATGAGGCAAAGGAAGCGCCCTGGGACAGTCAACTACACACACTCACAAGCACCAAATTGGATCTGCCAAGGTGGATCCATAACAGGCCTTCTTATGACCTGGATCTGCTGTCTGGCTTGGATGAAGACATGGATTGGGAGGAAGAATTTTTTTCAACTTTGAAAGAGATGACATGTGGGATATGAGGGAAAGAATCCCTTCCAAAGAGAACACTTTCTGGGAAGAAGAGTTGGTGGCATGCAACAGGAAGTCACTTGAGTGCATCCTATGCATGTCTGCACCTACAGCTGTCCCCACACAACAGGCCTCCCTCTTCAGGAGGGCACTTGGTGCTCTGTGCAAGTTGTCCCAGTGCCCTTGCATCACAAGACAGCCAGAACTATAGCATCCAACTGCCAGCGTCAGGTGGACCTCTGGAGATGGCAGCTGGCCCTAAACCTGTACAGAATCCCTGTAAAATCCCAGAAGATAAGGGATTAATATGTATGTCTCAAGCACCTATATACAGATGGATAGCTGTAGATCCAGCCATGTATTTTAGTAATAAAAGATAAGAATTGTTGATAATAACCAAGA